TAGTGCATCGCGACATGGCCGATCATCAGAGTCAGCGAAGCGTGAACAAACAGTCTCCTCACGGGTTTCGGCGCTAGCCCAAGGACACATGTTACTATAAACGTCCCATGTGCCGCAATAAGGTCGCTGAGTATTCTGACAACCTGGGGGATCGGAAATGATATACCGATTGTTTCGCAGTATTTTAGAGATTGCATATGGACCACGAAATTGCGGGATCAGCTTTTTATTAACTCCGGGAGTGCTGTCAAAATTACGAATCATGACGAGGTCGTCTTCCTTGTATGTTTTGGGCGTTTTGTGTCGACGGTCGTAGTCTTTCTTCTGGCGTTGTTGAGATAGACGGTTACAGTTGGCTGCCTGATCACGAGCTGCGTCCAAATCTCTAGTTTGCGGATTCACCGCTGTTTCCATGAAATCCTTGAGGTGATCCGAATAAGGGCCACGTTGGTCCAAAACCAGTTGACTTGGACTCTTTCCAACGGATCGGTTAACGGTGTTATTGATGGCGTACTCTATTTCGGGTAATATCTTGTACCACTGAGGACCCTCTTTATTATTTGACAATTTGGCGATACAAGGGGCTATAATCCTGTTAAAGCGTTCGGCTTGCCCATTGGCCTGAGATGACCCTACAGCAATCTTGATGTGACGTACACTCTGGGTCTCGAGGAAATCCTCAAAGTCGCGTGAGGTGAATGCGCTGCCACGGTCAGAAATAATTACCTTGGGCCGGTTGTAACAATGGAAGAACTGCAACAGACAACCAATAGTTTCCTTTGCATTGATAGTCTTACAATTAGTGGCGAACAGTCTGACGAACTTGGAGAAGGTATCCACGACCAATAAGATATACTTCTTTACCGATACTCGATTGTCGACCGGTCCAAAGTGGTCAATGTGGATAGTTTCAAATGGAAGAGTTCCCTTTGGGATTGGATATAAATATCCCTCGGATTTGCCACTTGTTGGTGAATAAGATATGCATTTCAAGCAGTATCGTACGGGGTGACCTTCTATTGGACACGTAACGATTGGACACCGCTCGATTGGACACCAAAATCATTGGACACCGCATTATTGGACACAAGCATTATTGGATACCGCATTATCGGACACAAGCATTATTGGACACCGCATTATTGGACACCGCATTTTTCTACACCGCATTATTGGACATAAGCATTGCAAGATTGGACACTGCATTTTCGGACACCGCATTATTGGACACCGCATTATTGGACACCGCATTATTGGACACCGCATTTTTGGACATCGCATTTTTGTACACCGCATTATTGAACACAAGCATTGCAAGATTGGACACTGCATTGGGATTGTCCTGATTGCACACATAACCGATCGGACACGGCAATATTTCTCGATCGGACACAGGCTCGATCGGACACAGGCCCGATCGGACACGGACTCGATCGGACGCAGGCCCGATCGGACACATTTTGTATCGGGTTTGCGTATTTCTGTAAAGCACAATATTCTTGTGGGTGTATGGACTTACAAATGATGGAAAATTATCTGCTTTACAGAACAGTTAACCCGGGTTAAATATACATATATAAATATCCCGACCCATCTAGAGTCACAGTTTGCCTTAAATTTCATGTTATAAATAAATGCGGTGTCCAATAATGCTTGTCTCCGATAATGCGGTGTCCATTAATGCTTGTGTCCAATAATGCGGTGTCCAATGATTTCGGTGTCCAATAATGTGTGTCCAATAGTGCGTGTCCAATCGAGCGGTGTCCAATCGTTACGTGTCCAAACGGGATACGCCCTATCGTACGTGCTCTTCACATTTCTCACGGATACGAGGAAACCAGTACGTCCGCCGAATAACATCGATCATCTTACCAGATCCCATATGGCCCATCTCGTTGTGGTAGCGAAATAAGACGTGTCACTCCATTTGCTCAGGTACTAGGAACAACAGGTATCCGCCGTGCTTTTTGTAAACCAAACCATTTCGCAACTCGTACTGTCGATCCTCTTCTGATTCAAGTCTTTGTGCAATTGCCTTAATTTTTGGATCCTGGCACTGCAATACCGTGAGGTTCCACTCAAATGGATTATCCTCGATTGTCAAAACTCCAAAAGACCTGCTCAATGCATCCACATGGGCCATTTTAGAACCCGATCGATGTACTACCCGAAAATCAAAGTTCTGGAGTTCAAGGCTCCATCTCGCTATGCGAGCATTTATATCACGCTTCTCCAACGTCTGAGTGACCGCACTACAATCGGACACAATCAAAAAAGGTATATCTTGTAAATAAATGCGAAATCTACGCAATGCATATACAAGAACCAATGTTTCTAGTTCGAAACTATGGTATCGCGCTTCAACGTCGATGGTTCTGCGGCTGAAATAAAACACCGGATGCATCTTGTTGTCGCTTTGTCTTTGCATCAGAATTGCTCCGAATCCTTCAGCGCTGGCGTCGCAATGCAGCTCCGTGTGAGCGTTCAGATTATACACGGCTAAAATTGGTGCTTCTATTAATTTATTCTTTAATGTTACAAATGCACTTCTCTCGCGGTCTCCAAACTCAAATACGACATCCTTTTTCAAGAGACAGTATAGCGGTCGCGCCATAAGGGAGAAGTCTTTAATAAACCTCCTGAAGTACGAAGCCAATCTGACAAAAGAGTGAACTTCTTTGATTGTCTTGGGTTCGGGGAAATTCTATACTGCTGCAATACCCATATCCGTGGGTTGAATCCCCTCTTTTGATACCTTGTATCCTAAGTATTCTATCTCTGTATACAAGAAATAGCACTTCTCCAGTTTCAGCTCGAGTTTGTTGTCGACCAACACTGTAAATACCTCTCTCAGGATATCAATATGTAACTCTAAGGTGTCGGTAGCGATCAACATGTCATCTATAAAAGCAAGAAGATTACCCGCCTTTATTTGGTTAGATAAAATTTCATTTACGAATCTCTGAAAAAACTGAGGCCCGATCTTAAGACCAAATTAGAAACTCGAACTGGCCCATCGGAGTTACAAGCGCTGTGTACTTGACCGATTCCGGTACCATTGCCACATGGTAGAAGCCATCTTTAAGATCGAGTAAACTGTAAAAACATTTATACCCCGTAGAGCATCTAATTGATCGTCAATCAAAGGTAGCAGATAATTATCACGCACCAAAACCTTGTTTAATGCGCGATAATCCACGCACATTCTAATATCGCCCGTTTTTTTTCGGGTCAATACTATTGGGGAAGCGTATTCCGACGCACTCTTTCTTATGATGTTTCTTTTTAACAAATCATTCAAGATCTTTTGAATTTTTTCTTTCTCTGAGAACTCCAACCGCCGCGGACCACACTGTACCGGTTTGTTGTCTTTTACAATTAAGGTGGCTTCTACTTGTACCTTCGGCATCTCTGGCCGGTTTCACATAAAAGTCGATAAAAGTATCTTCGAGCATCACGAGACACGGTAGTGTCTCGCGCCAAGTGTAAGCGTAGCTAGTACACGCGTGCGAGACCGACCGTGTAAGTTTACGCGAGTACACGAGTTGACGGGCCCTCAGATTTTCGGATCTCAACAACGGCTGATCCGACGAACTTGAGACTGCGCTTAATCGATAGCTTGGGTACGATTTGCATAATAAAAGTGTTTTTACTTTTCTCCTACGTGCCCCAGGAGTGGAGGTATTGCAATGCAATTACAATGCAAAGTCAGTTTTGTGAAATTTTGGATTAAGAAACATCTTTGTCGTCCTCGTTCTCGTTCTGGTCGTCGTCGTCGTCGACCAGACCAGCGGCCTTTTCACTTTTCTGCCGCAACGTGGCAGTGGCGTTGCTGTCGCATATCTCACGTAGCGTCTCGCGCAAAGTTTGAATAAGTTACAATTAATATTTTCTCGGTCCTTTTCTGATATAAATCAAATTGAAACTTAAACGCCATATTTTTAGGACCTGGCATGGTGGTGGCCATTATATTACTATGTGATTCATATACCGTATTATCCCACCCTGTACTGCGCGCCGTTACTATCGGACATATAACACAGATTTTGCCTAGGTGGGATCATTATCGTCAGTGAATTCACGTGTTCTAAAACTCGCAGAGCGATTTATTCAAATTATTTTAATTTAATTTTAATGCTATACTTAGTATTATAAATTTACCCTTTCCCCTATTGAATTAAAATTCTTATTGCGAAAACTATTATCCCAGCCAGGATTCGAACCTGGGACCTTTCAATCCGTGACGGGCATCTTAGCCAGCTCGACCACCAGGGCTGTGATAATATTATTCTAAAAATGTTTTGTGCCAAGTAAAGAGTACAGCATGAGATATTACACACTACAAAAGGTGTGATATCACGTAAAAAACTTACCTTTTTAAAAAAAAGGTAAAAAAAGCACCAAGTATAAGCTCCAATTCAACCGAATATATTTTGTTACTCTATCTTTTTTGCAAAAGTATATTTTCTACAAAAATATCTTCTCTACAAAAGTAATGATATCAACAAATTGCGCCAAATATAACAACGGATATTTATACAAACTAGTTGCTTTAGTATTAGTTTTTTATTAAAAAATGTTATATTTCTTAAAAAATCAAACTAAAGATTTTATTGGAAAAAATAATGGAGTTAATAATTGTTGGGGATTATACATATATACGCACAGAAAACGAACGCAGAGCGGACAGGCAGAAGAAACGCGAATCGCGAGTCGCAACAGAATAGAGTGCGCGCGCATAGGGTACAATAGGGCGCATTAGTGCGGGTATGCACGCCAAACAAAAATTTCGTTTCATATACATATAACGTGCGTTCTTATAATCCATATTCATCAGGTTATGGGCCCAGGCCCCGCATTAATAGAACAATGTACCGTTAAAAGTAAGAGACGAGGGATCACCGGTGGCCAGAAAGTATCCACCGAAGCGCGTAAAAAGGCCCGAGAAATACTCGACGGAAAGTGAGCTAACCTACCGGCTACGTGTTCGCGCAATAAAGATGGACACGACCAACGCCATGCAGATCGAGAAGCTTGCGAGACGAGAAAACTATGCGAGCTGGAAGTTTGCCATGCAAGCATACCTACAAAGCAAGGACCTATGGGGCGGCGTGGAAGGAGACTCTGAATATACAGGCGACACGAAGAAAATGACCAAGGCGAGGGCAAAGATTATACTGTCTGTAGAGAAACAGAACTTCAGCCACATACAGGGAACGACGACGCCAAAGGAAGCGTGGACAAAATTGAGAGACACCTTCGAAGATTGCGGCCTAAGCAGGAAGGTAGGATTACTGAGGACGTTAACATCTTCCAGGTTAGAAGATTTCAGTACCGCTGAAGGTTATGTGAACCGCATATCGGACACCGCGCATCGTCTAAAGGAGCTGAATTTTGAAGTAAAAGACGAATTGATCGCGGCACTAATGCTAGCTGGCCTCCCCGATGAATATAAGCCAATGATAATGGGCCTGGAAGGCTCAGGCGTTGCTATCACGTCCGATTCCGTTAAAGTCAAAATATTGCAGGACGTAAAGGCGCCGGCAGAGTTAAGTAGTAAAAGCAAAGAAACTGCTTTTTTCTCAAAGTCAAATATAATACAAAGCCAGCCACATCGAATCATAAAGAAGCAAAGCCAAGGAAGTGTTACACATGCGGTAAGGCGGGACACTTTGCCGCTAAATGCAGGTATAAATCCAAGAAAAAGGACGACAGTGAAGGTCACACGTCCTATAGTGCTTTTGCCACACTGCAAGGCACCATCGACAAACTTGAGTGGTTCTTGGACTCCTGTGCCTCAGCACACATGACTGGCAACAAGAAGTGGCTACGCGATGCACAGGACACAAACATCGCGGTGATGACATCTAGTGGAGAGAAGCTCACGACCGCTGCAAAGGGCACAGTAACTTTGAATTTGAGCGTCAACGGAGCGGAAGCTGCCATCCCGGTACAAGAGGTTCTACACGTCCCTGATCTCACGGCCAACCTACTATCAGTGAGTAAGATCGTTGAAAAGGGGCACATCGTGACGTTCCGGAAGGAAGGCTGTACGATAAAAGACAGGACGAATAGGGTCAAGGCCACAGCATATCTCCGAGAGGGCGTATACGTGTTGGACACAAAAAAGGAGAAAGCGTTCGCAACAACAACGGAGAAAGAGGACGACATATGGCATCGCAGACTAGGTCACCTCAACAGGAAAGGCATGTCATTGTTGAAGAACGGTTTAGCAAAAGGCTTAGAGGACATTAAAATAAATTCTGTAAGTTGCGAAGCGTGCGTGAAAGGTAAGCAAGCGAGGTTACCGTTTAAAAGTAGTAATAAATGCGCGAATTGCCCATTAGAGCTCATACATTCAGATATATGCGGCCCAATGTCAGTTAATTCTATAGGCGGCGCGCGATATTCTTAACTTTTGTAGATGATCACTCTAAAAAAATGTTCGTATATTTTTTTAAAAATAAAAACAAAGCGGCTGACATTTTCTCTAAATTTAAGGTCTTAGTCGAAAACCAAACTGGCCGAAAGATAAAGGCAATACGTACCGACAATGGTAAAGAATTCATCAACAAGAAGTTCCAGGAAATCACAGAGAAATATGGAATCGTGCATCAAACTTCAGTCCCGTACTCGCCTCAACAGAACGGCCTGGCAGAAAGGGCAAACAGGACTATTGTAGAAAAGGCAAGAGCGATGCTATTGGACGCAGGACTGTCAAAGACGTACTGGGCAGAAGCTACATCTACGGCCGTGTATCTAATAAATAGATCTCCTACAAAGGCAATAACCAGAAAAACGCCTGAAGATGTATGGACCAGACGAAAACCGGATTTACGACATTTGAGATTATTTGGCAGCCCGGTATTAGCTCACATCCCAAAAGAAAAAGAGGTAAATGGGATCCAAAAGCGAAGAAGTTATTATTTATGGGATACTGCGAGAATACAAAAGGATATAGATTAATAGATCCTAGTAACCACAAGATCAGACAAATTGAAAGATACATTGTTTTGCATAAAAAATATATGCCGGCATAATGGAGGTGTTCATTAAAATAGATATGGCATCTACTAAAAGCGCCCAATGTTGAATATATTTGTTTGGTAATATAAGTCAGATAATTGGGATACTGTAAAATAATAAAAAAATTGTCCATTCGTGTGCTTTCCAATATGCACGATCTGACATTTTCCGCGGAGTTCGGGATACTTTCAAAGAAGGTTTAAATGACAACAATAATTTATCTACCAAGCGTAATGAGGGGCCGCCACAGTAAAATATCTCGTTGTGATAATATGAATTGAACCAAAGATTCACAATTTGTCGTACTACTCCTAAGGCAACACTATGTTGCCATTCTGGAGGCAAGTTTCTAATAATATCAAAATTTTTAACATCACATAGAACAGACCAACCTTGGATTCCCTTTTCCACTGTTTGTGCAGGTATGAGCGTTTCCTCGTGGGTTCGTAGACCTTCCCCAAATGCATTGTCATTTTCATCAATTGTATACACTCTTACTGTTCCTCTACCTTTTGGGACCTGTTCTCCTGGATGTTTGCAAAAACCGCAACCATATTTCCCATTAAACTGGGTACAGTTCCTTATTTCTCTTCTGGCTACTGAGTCACTAATACCTAATAGTAATTGGCATTTTTTTCGATATAATTTTCTATTATGTACAAAAAAGAATCCAAATTCCTTCAATTCGTTGCATTCTGTAACAAAAGGTATCAAATACCCATTTATGTCAGGAACATTACCAAAGCCGCAATATAAATTGCATAAGAACATTGTAACCGGACGTTATTCGGGAGCAGCTCATTTATTGTACATAATACCGGATGCATAGAATAATTAGAGTTGTTAAATATCGGTACTCCATCGATACTAAAATTGATAGAGATCATATCATCAGAAATATTTTTTTTGTAAAGTTTACCGTCAAAAATATCTTCTATTGCAAATTTTGATTCTTTTTTTCTTGTTTTTGAATATAAAATAGACTCTCCATGTCTCGAAAAGAATTCTTGTAGCTGTGAGGTTAGAGACAAATTAATAAACACATTTCCAGCTTTCCAATTTGCTTTCACATTCACTTCATTTTCACAATTTATACATCTCAAGATTCCAGTTGTAAGTTCTTCATCTATCATGTTTTCTTGCTTACCAGCATATCTTTTACATGATTTACAAAAATGATGAATTGTCATAGACGTCGACAATGTGTGTATCATTGTTTTGAATGCATATTTAGTTTGAGGTTGTTCTGGTGAATCACTCAGACTTTCAATAGCTTCTGACATATGTTCAGCTAAATCGTATGTTGAATTGCGATGTAATTTTGTGGCCAGTATAATCAAAAAGTTGAGTCTCATCAGCGTTCGGAGGCTGTAATTCATTAAGTAATTTCGATGGTAAATTACTTTCCAAAGAATTGTGACTCGTACTGTTGAAAAAATTTTCTTGTCCATATTCATCTATATTCACTTCATCTATTTTGCTCTAAAAAGGAAAATTTTTATTGAAATGCATGTGTATATTCATAATCTAATTCCGATTTTTAACAAGAAAATAAAAAATATTAACAAAGGATAAATAAGTGACTATTTTTAGTGATCACTGATTTATGTGAGAACCTCCAGTATATTCTATTTGTACATACCATCTTACAATTAGACAAAGTAGGGGAAACATTGATCGTACTGTGTTTTACATGGGATTGACTAGAATTAGTGAAGTTTATTTCACAGCCATGTGATTCACCCTGCTGCTTCTAAAAAGTTTTAAAACACAAGAATTAGTAATTTTGGATCAATGTTAAACTTAAAATACTTTTGTTTTATTTTATAAGCTGCATGTTCTTCGAAATATATTATATTTACCTGCTTTATTTTATTTTCTAATTCACGACGTAATTTACAAAGTAATATTCCTGGTCTCTTCCACCTATAGACAATAATAGTAATTAACTGTCGATACAGTAATAATATAACAAAGATCCCACACTTTTTATATGTTAAATCGGTTTAGGTAAAAGTAGCATACTTTATAACCTCCTGAAAAAAAATTTCAATGCGCTCAGATTTCTAGGAATTTAATTTTAAGGTGGTTCTTGCAGGACTTTGAAGTCACAAAAGCAACTATTAATACTAATGACAAATATGAATAATTTAGTATGTAAAAATCAGCATACATTTAAATTAATTATTCCGTAAGGTTTTTTCTCATTGAACTGTCGGTATAAACTAAAAATATCAGAGCGAAGTCACAAATTTGACTAGAGTTGGAACCATACATTTGGCAACGTCGCAATTTTAATGACAGGATGACAGCCGGTGTATCGATAGTGAATATATTCATACAACTGCCGAAAAAGATATATTATCTTTATAACATCCATTGAACCTCCATTCAACGGTGGGAGAATGGTAGGACACGCGCCTTGTGCTTATGCGTCCGCTGAAGCGCGTGCAACCATGCGACGTTGCCAAGCTGCCACTCAAGACGGCGGCCATGACTCTCGTGTCGTGTCAAAAATTGCCGAAAGTTCGTCGGAAGTTTCGCTTTATTTATGGTACGGTACGGTCAATCAGTTTGGTGTCGCGTCAGTATCTGCAGAAATGTTTATTGCATCGATTAAACAGTTTTTTATTCGTTCATCATGGCGAGAAGTATGAACGTATTCCATGAATGTGCGATCTGACCCTCCTTTCCCTATTATCAATATGTAAAATTGCCAAAGTTTGCGGACATATATCTCCGGAACCAAGCGGTAAAAAAATCCGAAATTTTTCATACACACTCTAGGAACTCTAGGTCATAATTAATCTTTCATTTGATATCATATTTTTCGAGTTATCTCGGTTTTACCTAAATGCAAGAACCACCTTAAAAGCTAAACAACTTCAAACCTACTAAAATAAAATTGAAAAATTATTACTTTTAACTTTCATGGATATAGTGTGCGTGCGTGCGTGATTCATGTAGATGTATGCATTTGTTTGTATATTTTACATAAACAGTTAAATAGATATTTTAGTAGTATTTTGGAGTTTTCTTTTAAAATTGAATTTTTACAGGGTATGAAGACATTAATATTTTTGTTCAGGAGGTTAAAAACTATGTTATGTCAAGCTTGCATCCAATTTGTCCAGTTTTACATGTAAAATGTACAGGGTCCTTTGTTAACTTTGAAAAGAGGATTTTTAAAAATATAATTCTTACTTTACTCCACTAAAAGATTTTGCGATTTTATGATATTGTGTCCTCTTGGATACGTTTGGTGTTGACAAGCCAAATAAGTATCTTTTGTAAGAGCCTCGATTTTTTGAGTTTGATGTCATCTATAGTGTTATAACGATTTTTGTAAAAATTGGTAGAAAATTATTGAATTACTTTGAGGTTAAAGCTCAAATTTATTTTGTACGTTAAATTAGAGTCTGTTTATAAAAAGGCCAGGTTTATAAAAAAAGAAAAGTTATTAAATAGTTAAATACTGTTTGTTCAATAGTTGTAGAGTCAATAAAACCAACAGATGAATAATGTATGCCGAACAGTACTTACTTTATAGAATTGAGAACTGGATTTGGAGCTATTAAGTTCTTTAGTATCCTGCCTTGGTTTGTTTGTTTGGCTCAAAATATTCAGTCCTTTTCTTTGTATATTTTCAGACCCTGAACTAGAACAATCACTTTTATGGGAATCTATCACCGGGAGTCTTCTTATTGGTAGTGGCTAAAAACAATTTTCAGTTAATTTCCATAATTAAATAAATTAATAGTAATTATGATAAAAGTGCCGAATAGGGGACCCAGCTCCTACGACCTTGACCTTCAAGGTCAAGGTCAAGGTCACCCTCCTGAGTGACCCTCAGAAGGTTTTAGCCGTCGCTCGTTGCTCGTTAAAAAGTTATTAACAAAAAATGTTTAACGATGGGTTTTAATATTTAAGTTGCAAGTGCGTTTAGCACGGCGCGGCGCGC